TACTTTATTTTTTACAATAAAGTAGTTAATCTCTTATTGCTAATCGGTCGAATCAGTACATTTGATATTACGTGAACTATATTAATTTAAAGCTATCTATACGTGGATTATATCTATCTATTTATATTAAATATCTTTTTGTCGGCTACATGTTGCTCAACGTAAAGAAACTATAAAACTGGTAGTTGTAGATACCAGTCTCGTTAAGTACTAATTAGTCATTTGAGTTTCATTTAAATATAATCCAGACTTAGGCCTTCAGTATAATTTAAAAAATGTAACTAATTTATTTTATTCAAAGTTGTAATTATGACGTTTGAAGATGATAAATAATTATTTTAACCGTAATGTCGCCATTGTTATATTTGAATAATTTACATTTGCTACGGCAGTGAAATAATAGGGGTTAAAGTATGAAATTGCCGATTTGTACTGAAAATCTAAATTGTTTATTTTTTAAATTTTTAACAAATGTATTTAATCAAAACAGTTGCCTATATTATCTATACATTGCTGCCATCTAATGGGAAGGTTATTAATGCCTTTGCGATAGAACTCCGACGATCTAGACTGCACAAACTGTGTGAAAGCATTTTGTACTGCCTCCTGGGAAGAAAACTTCTTGTCACGTAGATAATTGTCCAAATCACGAAAAAAATGGTAGTCCGTTGGAGCAAGGTCTGGTGAATACGGAGGATGACGAATGTTTTCTAGCTGCAGTTCCTGAAGGGTCAAAATGGTTTCTCGTGCTGTGTGAGGTCTCGCGTTGTCGTGGAGCAATAATGGTGAAGATCGATTCATGAGTCGGGGCTGTTTTACTGCTAGTTTTGTCAACATGGTTCGGAGTTCGGCACAATAGACATCTGCCGTTATTGCTTGACCAGATCGGAGAAAACTATAGTGAATAACACCATGCTGAGACCACCAAACAGTTACCATTACCTTTTTATTGGTAAGTTTTGCTTTAGGACACTGTTGTGGCATTTGACCTGGGGTCAGCCATTGCATTTTTCTTTTCCGGTTATCATAAAGAATCCACTTTTCATCACATGTTACAATTCGATCCAATATTCCTTCATTTCTGTACCGGTTCAACAAGGCAACACAAGTTTCAACACGCGTTTCTTTCTGCAGATCAGTCAAATCATGAGGCACCCATTTTTCGTATTTTTTTATTTTATTGATTTGACGCAAGTGAGTCAATATTGTGGGAAAGGTAACGTTAAACCATGCCGCTAATTCCTGGGTAGTTTGACTAGGATCGGCTTCCACTATCTCTCTTAATTCATCGTTATTCACCTGTGTGGGCGGTCTTCCTCGTGGCTCGTTCTTTAAGTCGAAATTTCCATCACGAAAGCGTTTAAACCAAAATCGCACGGTGCGTTCATTATTATAGTAGACCCCTCTCCAAACGCAGCATTGATATTGCGGGCTGTTTCTGCCGCGTTAGTTCCGCGTCGGAACTCGTATTCAAAAATCACTCGAATTTTCGCAGTATCCATCTTTCTTGTCTAAATTGAATAACAAAAACAATTGAAAGTCGATATTCAAATGTTTCAAATTAAAAAAAAAAAAAAATCACAGAAACCATTTGAAAAAAGTTTCATTCGAAAACCTCAAACCATGAAGATTCTATGAAAATTCAAAGAACCTATTGCAATAAAACGGCAATTTCATACTTTAACCCCTAATATTTTATTTTTATTTTTATAACATTAAGTGACGGAACGGACAAGTCGTGCGCCTGATGGTAAGCTACACGCCTGTCCATTACAGTTACAGTGCCACTCAGAGCTTTAAATTACAAAGATCTGACGGGCATTGCCACTGTGCCCGTCACCTTGAGACATAAGTTGACAAGTCCCATGTGCCGGTAATTTCACCAGCACCCCTTACCCTTCAAAACCGGAACACAGTAATGATTACACATCGAGTATATAACCAGAAATAGAGACGAAATAAGGGCCATATATTCCTGGTAACAAATTAGCGATACAGCTCTTATAAATATCAACTCTCGTTTGCTTTGAAATATAGACTGGCCAACTACAGACCTGTGTGTACGTCTCCGTATATTCCAAAAAATATTCTGTATTTATTGTAATAAAGATATATCTGTAACAATGCCGTGCTGTTCTATTCGGTAGTGTAGGAAAAACAGCAAAACATCTAATTACAAAACAAACGGAATCAAGTTTCATCGGTAATTAAATATTAAATATGTAATTTTGCAATTTTCGTCCATTATAGCAAAGCTCAAGTTAACTGGTATTTGAAGTGAAACAGTTGACGACACCCATTGACGACACCCGTCAATTGTTTTGAACTCGGGCTAGCCAATCGGAGCGCAGTTGTCACAGTAATGATATGGCAGAATAGTTTTCAAACAAATTAAATGACATTTCGTCTCTAGAGACAATAAAAAAATATGTGCTGACAATACTGCTTAGCGGCAGAAATAGGTAAGGTGGCAGTACTACCCTACTACTATAATCATCGTATAGAAGTGTGATTTTCGGGAAGATTTACGAAACTCATTGTCAACCGCTTACGGTCATTTTGCAAAAATGTTTAACAAAAGGAATATTCCCCACGTGTTTAAAAAAAGCTGTTGTGGTCCCGGTACATAAATCTGGTAACCAAGAACAAATAACTAATTATAGACCTATTTCGTTACTGCCAGCAATATCTAAAATATTAGAAAAACTTATTAACAATAGACTTGTCTTGTATTTGGAGAGACATTCCATATTATCTAAAACACAGTTCGGTTTTAGATCTAAATTATCGACATCTGACGCCGTGCATCACCTTACGAATTTTGTAGCAAGGGAACTAGACAAGGGTAACAAAACTGTGGGTATTTTTCTAGACCTAGCGAAGGCTTTTGATACAGTTTACATCCCTGTGCTGTTACAGAAGCTTGAATCGCTTGGTATAAGGGGCATACAGCTTAAATTACTCGAAAACTACCTGGAGGACCGATCCCAATGTGTTAAAATAGGTGACATTCACAGTTCTGATCTGAAGTGCACTTCATTTGGAATTCCTCAAGGAAGTATTTTAGGACCAACACTTTTTCTTATTTACATTAATGACCTTTGTAACCTAGATTTACAAGGTGGAAAGATCATATCCTATGCTGATGATACTGTTCTACTCTTTTCTGCAAACTCTGACAAGGAGGTATACGACTATGCACAGCGTGGATTCAATATAGTAAATAACTGGCTCCAACATCATTTGCTAACACTAAATACGGATAAAACTTGTTTTATGCAATTCCATATGCGGAAATCAAAGTCATTTATATCTAACCCTAAACTATATGCTCACCATTGTTTTGACCCTACTAACAACCTGTGTAAATGTCCAGACATTGCTATTACTAACAAGATAAAGTATTTAGGTGTTATATTAGATGACATCCTATCCTTTAAACACCATATCGAAGCACTAAGCGCCCGACTCCGTAAGTTAATGTTTGTGTTTAAAAAACTACGCGTTTCTGCTGATTTTAAAATAATCAGGCAAGTTTATTATGGATTATGCCAATCATTAATTACTTACTGCATTACATCATGGGGTGGTATAGCTAAAATTACTTTACTAATCATTGAAAGAGCCCAGCGAGCTGTCCTAAAGGTTTCTACCTACCGCCCTTTCCGTTACCCCACTGACCTTCTGTATAAGTCATGTAAAGTATTAACTGTAAGGCAATTATTCATTAAGTCCACAGTCCTCAAACAGCACGTATTGCTCCCATATATTACTGAAAACACTAATAAAAGACGAAAAGATATTGTCTGCCCCAAAATTATATCATCAAAACATACTTTTATTTCAAGATTTTTTGTGTTTCTTGGACCATTTTTGTACAATAAATTAAACGCCAAATATTCCATTTATAATTTCTGTTGCTTTAAGGTAAAGAAAATTCTCCAAGAAGCTCTTCAAAATATGTCCTATGAGGATACAGAGAATTTATTTATTATCGTAAATTAAATGTTGTCTTGTTTAAGTGTACATTTTTTATTTATTTTTTTATTTTTTTATTGGCAATTTATTATTTAATTGTTTAATTTTATTTCATAAGATTCTCCTAAAAAGTATTTATAATATTAATAGTATCCACATTTATAATTAGTAGTACTTTTTACCTGAAATACAGGAATTTCCTAGTTCAGGTACATGTGTTATTTTGACATTAAATCGCATAAGTAGTCTTTAGTTTTCTCTGTACATTATGTTACTGAATAAACAATTTTATTATTTATTATTATTAATACTTCTCGTTAAAGAAAACTACCAAATTCCTTGACGTACAAGCACATAAACTGTATTTTACTCTTTATAAGCAACAGGAGCTACAGCTGTACTACCAAACGCATGACCTGATTTTGTTTGTACTGCCTCCGTGATCGAAAGGTTAACAGGCTGGACTGCCATGGAGAGGTCTCGGGTTCGATTCCCAAGCCTGGAGAAATATTTGTATGATCTACATTTATTTCTCTCGTGAATTTGGGTGTAATTTGTGGTTGTCTACCTATATGTGTGTCCATGGCACCCTCAATACAGGGTTTCGCTTGCGGGGCTGTGAGTGTGTGCGTTGTTTGTTTTATTAAATTTAGAATAGTATAGAAAAACATTTATTGCAACGTGACGTTGCTAAACAAAAAAGAGATTAATAATATTGACACAAACAAAACAAAATAAAAAGAATTAAAAAATACAAAAAAAACAAAGCAATAAACAAAATATAAAGACTGCGCAAGCAAAAGTGCCTCATTCAGCTTTAACCACAGCCGTAAGCTAGGTTGTGGCGCTGGTTTGTTTGGTTTAGTTGGCATAGTGTCTGGCACGGTATGCTAGAAGACGACGGTTCGAATCCGGCCGGATCGAAGAAATTTTTTCTGAGTGTTCGATCTTTGTATTAATAATTATACATTTTAGTTATTCTTCAATTATAAGCAAATATCACATAAGTTATGTAATTGCAGGTGAACGACCTCACGTGTGCGCTCATTGCGGCAAAGCGTTCGCCCGAAAGCACTGCCTAAACACGCATTTGCTGTTACACTCAGCGGAAAGGCCGTACCGCTGCCACGAGTGTAAGATGGCCTTTACGCTTAAGCACCACCTTGTCACACATTCAAGGGTGAGTAAGACCATGCTACCTTTTTGTAGTATCTCCATAACTTCTCAAATACATGCAAGAAATGCTCTAAGATGGTCTGTGGATATGAGAGGTTTGCGCAGACGCAGTATATTGTGCGGTGTTAGGGTGAGGCTGATCGTAATTTTGGGGGTTGTCAGTCGCTTTTAAGTGTTTGTCGTATAGTGTAATGTATCAATTAAAAATAGCGTACATTTATGAAGCATTAGATGATGTTAGAAAAAGAAAAGGAAGCTGGGTACAACACTCTAACTTGAATATGGAAAGATTAAAGTACTGGCAGTTTGTCTCCGTGACCGAACGGTTACCGTGCTGGACTGCCACGTGGTGATCCGGGGTTCTATTCCCGGGCCGGGAGAAATATTTGCATGGCCTACATTTATTTCTCTCGTGAGTTTGGGTGTAATTTGTAATTGTCTATGTTTCCCTAGTGCTAGGCTATGAGTGTGTGCGTTGTTATCAGAGACCGGAATTGAGGGAGCTAATTTAGCTAAACTAAAGAATAATGTGGACTTTCCCTTCTACAAATCCTGGGAATTCTCGGAACTATATGGACGGAATATTTCAATATATGTATTATTTATTGAAATTTGAGTACATTTGCGACAAACAAATAAATAAATATAATTTTTTGTTACAAATGATTGTCCCAAAAAGTAATAGTGTGATTGTGTTTCTATAGCCATTTAAAAAATAAACATGAGACAACCTATATTCTGGAATGTTTGGAAAATAAACACTAAAAAAAGAAATTTTACATGGAATGAGGACGTAATGGGTATGTCCACACTAAGAAAACGTTCATACTTTAGACTGAAGTTTGATAAATTATTTTCATTTGCTTTAATAGGGAAAGAGGAAACTTGTCAGAGATTGTTGAACTTCTTAAATTAGTGCTTACCAGCGTTACGTGTGTGTTAAATGGAAAAGTTTGATGACAGGTGCACAGTCGCGAGCGGCCGTTCGTGTGCGGCGAGTGTGGCCGCGGGTTCCCTTTGAAGCGGCATCTGGTCACGCACAGCAAGTACCACGCCGGCGAAAGACCGTACGTCTGTTCCGATTGCGGCGAGAGCTTTGCGCAGAAGGTCTGTATAGCTATCATCTCACCGCTTATATACTTCTTCCAACCATTGATTTAACTTTTGACAGCTCGCATTTTAATCACTTAATGATGTCCTAAAGCGTTTCCGAGTCGATTTTTTATAATAATCGATTTAATTTATGAAGAAGTTTTAATCATAAATGTGCGCGGGTTCCAAAAATAAGATATTGTCAGATTGGAATCGTGATGGTGCGTTTGACAATTTGTGTACTCAAGAATTAATAATTAATGTTAATGAGGATTCAACTGGTGATTCCCGTTCTCATGGAGATGAATCCGACTATTCATTATAATAAACAATAAGAATTTATTATAATTTATTTCATTTCATTATAATTTATTAGACAGGTATCAAAATTTATCAACTTGAACAATCTTCGTCACATAATCTGTAGGCTCGATAAATATCGGAGCTAAAGAAAAAAAAAGCACGTCGCTTCACTAAAATTTAAAAATACAAGAGTCCAGGCAGGAAGTATTGCATTTTTCATCTATGGTTGCACGATGGTTCTATGTCAATAATTAGGGACCTTTTTTTTTTAATTATTAAATGGTTGGACGGAGTATAATTATCGTAATTTCATTAATAAACACGTATATTGAGGGTAAGAAGATATTCCGCTCCCACCGAACTCGACCATCGGCACCGTATTAGGTACTTGCATGACGCATTGAAATATTCTTTCTATTGTAAACATTATACGACACTAATCTAGTAACTGTTACTAACTTTTTTATTTCTTGGAACTAAAATTAATTTTGCCTTGATTTTCCTTTAAACAAAGTGTGAAGATGCATATTCTAGACAGGCAGGGTAGAGGAGGCTAGGGCAGTGGTTGTTTCAACAACACGTTGAACGAACCACTCTCTTTCCTCTCCACACAATAGTTGTGCGGTGTGCAGAAGAGCTAATTACCTATCATGTCAAAAAAATAAACAAAATTACTTGAAAAATAAAATGAATACACGCATTCAAAAATCTAGAAGTTAAAAAGAAACGGCAATATTAGCTGTTGCCATCACATTTTCAACATTTAGCCTTCGTCCAGGTAAGTGCTGCTGCGTAACTATATATATATATATATATATATCGACTATATATATAAACTATATATAGTGTATTTCTGCCGCCAATCAATAAAAAATTTGAGTATTACTGCGGTTTTCAAGGGTTAAGGGTGCTAGTGAAATTACGTGCACATGTGACTTGTCAACTTTGTGTCAGGATGACTGGCGTAGTCGAAGTGCCATCGAGTATATTATCAGAAATAGAGAAGAAATGTCATTTATTTGTTTGAAAACTATTCTGCCAAATCATTACGGTGACAACTGCGCTCCGATTGGCCAGCCCGAATTCGGAACAATTGACGGGTGTCGGCAATAGTTTCACTTCAAATCGATCAGTTGGATGGACGAAAATTGAAAAATTACATATTTAATTACCGATGAAATGTGATTCCGTTTGTTTTGTAATTAGATGTTTTGCTGTTTTCCCACACCATTGAATGGAAGCCCCCCCATTGTTAGAGACTTTATTACAATAAATACAGAATATTTTTGGAAGATACGGAGACATACACATGGGTCAGTTGTTGGCGCTGTACTATTTCAGCTTTCTAATTTGTGATTTCAGCGCAAACGAGAGTTGATATTTAAAAGTGATGTAAGGGCCCATTTGTCTGATGAGTTGCCAAGGATGGATGGCCTTTATTTCGTCTCTATTTCAGGTTATGTACTCGATACACAGTGCCCGTCAGATTATTTGAGCGTGGGTGTCAACATTTAATATACAATTACAGGAGCATTTAGTCATGCACAGTCGCTTCCACGGTTCGTTGTCACCGTTCGTGTGCCCGGACTGCGGCGTGGCGTTCGCGCGCAAGTTCCAGCTCGTCAACCACGGCCGTGTGCACGGTCGTGTACCGCACGCGTGTCCCGTCTGCGGGAAAGAGTTCCTGCAGAAGCGCACGCTCGTTACGCATATGAAGTTAGTAACACATCAAATTTGAAAAACTTATCACAATAAAAATTTAATGAATACGTGTTGTTAAAACATATCGATGATAATACCTATGTCACTATGTCGTGGTTCAGAAGTAACTTAGATATTTAACGGATTTATCGTTCTTCAGTAGTGTCTTATTGGTTATGAATCGATTATTTAAAACCATATTCGTGCTCACGAAATCGTGTCTTGAAATGCTTCCTTGGCAAGGGAGCAACGCGAAGAATAGAGCGAGATAAACGTGTACTTGTGTACGGGACGACTTTAGTCACCATCCAGATTTTAATATTTTGACTTTTTTTTAAATTGACCTGAATTGAAACACTTAGGAAATGAAACTATTTTTCCAGATTTAAACCGCGTATATTTGTTTTTTAAAACAAACCAACGTTTCGAGCCCTTTACAAGTCCCATGGTCACGGTTGACTGAACTTGTTTCTGATCAAAATATTTTATATTTGTTTTGACCTACCAATTGCTTTTCAAAATGGAGTCTTAGGGTCGTGTTCCAGAACTCTACTCAATACTCAAGTCAGGACTTGAGTATTGCAGTAAGCACTGAAAATCATACTCAAGTCCTTGCCATTAGGATTGTATTTCCAGTGCTTGAAATCATACTCAAGTCTGCTCAAATCCTGATTTGAGCATTGAGTACAGTTCTGGAATACAACCCTCAGTATATATCTAATGTATTGTATAGAAAAAATTTGGATGGTGACTAAAAAGTCACCTGTAAGTATATATAATTATAGCGTCTTTGTGTCGTGCAGCAGCCGTATCACGCCTATGCAAACACTGTTTTTTATATGAAGGTATTTTATTGTTAAGCAATCATTCACTAATAATTTTACAATTGATGAATGATTTATGTAACTAAAATTTTTTCTCTTTAACCTCTTTAATTTCATTTTCAGACTCCACACAGGCGAAGGAGTAGTGGCGTGCCTAGAATGCGGAGAGGCGTTTAAATGCAAGGTAGAATTACAACAGCACTGTAAAATGACACGGCACTGCCTGTCGTCGAATCAATCTACGCAACAACAACAAACGCAACAACAAGTACAACAGCAGGTGAGAAAAACCTGTTGGATCTACTATAGCGATTAAGTTCAGATGTATTTGTTTCACTGGAGATATTAGATCTTATCAGTAACATCAAGTATCAATATAGTCGCTGTTTTTAAGGAATAGTGACTCCAAACCAAAATGGTATTTTTTAAATTCATTCCACTGCTGGTGGAGGCGCCAGTGATCTACAAGCACCACTGTTTGACATCTTTTTTGAAATTAATTTCTAATAAGATTTAGGACAAAATTTTCTATCATATTACTGAGTGTTCGTTTGTTCATTATTGGTGAGTGTCAATTACTGATTAGTTAATTAGTGGATTTTTGGTATTCATTTCTGGAGATTTAGAGAAATTCTAGTTTAGGTTTTTTTTAGTAGTAATTGTAACAGTTTTTTTTATGAAACATACTACGGCATATTTCTTGAGGATTACATTTGTCTACTAAACTAATTACTATTGATATATGTTTTAAAACAAAAAAGATGTATTTCATATTTAAAGATACACTTCCCTTAAAATATCGATCATTGGTAGCATCGCCCCATATTATTAAAAATTTTATTGTGATTGGGTAAAAATAGTAATATAGTAGTAAAAATGGCAACTTTGGGTCGATATACGATTCCACGGCTATGCTTGCCAAATACGCCAACTTTATGGCGGCATTTCACATGGATATTTGTATTCGCTGTTGGGTATTTGTTGTATGTACTTGAAAAAATATATGACGTACAGGTAAACATACAGATACTGACAAATCTAGGTTCGGTGGACTTAAGCACGAAAATCAAAATCCAACATCATCCATTTAAACTTACTTCATTAATTTCAATTCCTAACTTTAATTCTAATGGCGTCTTTTTCAAATCTACCATTTTCTTCACATCTTCCAACACTATAAACAACACAAAATATATATAATTATACATTAAAAAATTAAGCATTTTTTTTACTTAATCCGCTGACCCTATAAATGTGATTATTATCTACACATAAGGCGTCTAATAACAAAGACACAAATACTTCGTGGTGGAAATTCGCCAATAGCATTTGATAACTCATGTTATATAACTATAATTATATAAATAGATAGTGTATTTTCCTAAAATGTTTTAAAAAAAGCTAGCAGTTGTCTGTAGCGTGGAGGGTTTCTTGTGCATTTGTTCATTTGTCCTCTTTGTAATCCGACAAGAAACCGACAAGCGTGTGGCAACGCGTGTTTGGGGTTTGCTGTACTTTTTGACGAGAGACATACGTAGAGAGAGATCTAAGCCCTCCTGTACCTATACTTTCAACTTTGCAGGCTAACTTTATTGCTCTGTTTGTGATCGGACATTTAAGACAAAATTCGGTATGGCGTATCATATTAGGGCGTGTGCCCACGATAGGAACTAATATCAAAGAGTCGCTGTTATCGAAATTGATACAGAGGTCTATATATACTCGCGGACACAATTCGAGCCACCTTGCATTTTTATCCTTAAAGGGCTAGGATAAAAAATATAGTTAACATCGACGAAAAAGGTTTCTCCGGTTTTTTAAATTCAAATTTTCAATAAGGACTTAAGGAAGCGACGTTTAGTATACCAGTTTCAAAGTTGCATAATAGTTCTTGATCAGTCAAGCATTGTTTAAGCTAAGGGCATTTAGAAAATACATGATGTCTCGAATTATGTGTCCGGGAGCATATTTATCGAACACAGCAAACAAATACTTTGTCAGACTATCAACACAACGCTGATAGTTGGCCAAATATATCAAATTTGCAAATACAAACAGCAAAGTGAAGTGCCACAATTACATGTTTGACGTAGGCAAGAATAGCATTCTCGAAAGCCACCGACCTAGCCCTGGCACTAGATGGCACGTTTATTCTTGCCTGACAATTTCGATGTATGAATATAACACACACAGGTACAGCAACAACAAGCTCAGCAACAAGCGCAGCAGGCCGCGCAACAAGCACAACAACAAGCGCAACAACAAGTGCAGCAAACGGTCATTAAAACGGACGATTTTAAACCGCAGATTGTTCAGGTACGTTTCCACTTAAGGACTGTGTCTCACTAGCGACGTTTGAACGTGGAACTACGCTGCGGAATGGCGTTATAATTTATATACCAATTTTAATGTTAAGCCCTTTTGATTTTTAAATTTAAAATGCATTAAGAAATTGCATTCTTATAGAACACTTGCCTCCCACATTCGTAAAGACTTGTTCGCAGAAGTGTGTTAAATATGTGTAACATCAAATGATCTCCAATCTGATAATATTAATTTCAATTACTGTTTTACGTCGAAAAAAACTAAGTATAGTAGATTCCCACACAAGGTTGGCACGCGTTCACTCGTCCACGTTCACGCTTTACGTTTCTTATAACGTCTTACATTTGAAGGCATGATACATGTAAAAGGCACTGCGACCGCGTCGATCCAAATGATACTTAGCAAACAGAATTGAACGCATGATCGCCTCTCGTACATTGAATCCCGTAGAACTAATTTCCAATCAATCTCACGCGCCATTTTGTTTGACATTCCATTTCTGTACGTTTAGTTCACCGAACAGCAGGCGCAACAAATCCAACAGAGTGTTATTAAGACGGACGAATTCAAGCCGCAGATAGTACAGGTGCGATAAAGCTTTAAATTTTATAATATTTCTATTGTATTCTGTGTTTTTGTTTTCACCGAACAAAAGTCAGATTATCTAAGTTTCTTGCTGAAGTTGTTTTGTTTTGTGAATCAATTTGATTATAATTTTAATTACAAGTACAAATTTGGTCCGAGGAGGTTTTGACAGTAGTCCGTCACGGTAGCCCAACGCTTGATGCCCGTTGTAAATGATCCCTTCATGAAACTGATTCGATCTGTTTTAATGCTGATATATTCTGCTTTTGATAAAGATGATTTCACAGAAAAATCGGGACAGCAGAAGTTGGATAAATTTTATAAAATCAAACCTATCAAAAATTATGTCTCTATAACTCCCGCCTGTTTTTTTGTGCAATATTTAATTTGAAATTTACCATGAGCCTTTCGGTGAAGGAAAACATCGTGATGAAACGAGCATGTCGAAGAAGATTCACAACCCTCGGAAAACGTGTGAAGCCCCCAACCCATATTGGGCCAGCGTGCCGGACACTCTGTATATCTGATTATATTTTTGTATTTGTCATTATCTTAAAAACGAGTCGAAAAATAATTATGAAACAACTGATTAAACTTTGAACGTAAACTATGACTATAGAGTAATTTACTATTTTTTTGTCAGATGTAGTGTAAATAAATGTGTTTTGTTTTTTTAGGTGATAGGCGCGGACGGTCAGATAGTGGCTGAGAAGGCTTCGGCGGGTTATTCATGCCCCGAATGCGGCTCTTGCTTCAATACGAAGGTTGGTTCGATTGAATAGAATCCATTACCAGATTTCACGAGTTTGATTTTCTGCAACTGAATAAAGTGTAATGAAAATTAAAGGAGATTGTGTATAATTAACGCGTGGCAGCGAACAGTGGTGATGAACCGCTCTGTACTAATGACTGGGACTGTTCGCAGGAAGCGATGTCGCTGCACGTGCGCCTGCACGCGGGCGACCGCACGTGCGTGACGGACCTGTGCGCGCTCACGGCCGCGCTGCAGCCCGGCATCGTGGCTGCGCACGCGCATGCGCACACGCAGCAGCACAGTCAGTACCCTTCGCTCATTAGCCGCGGGCTTTTTCGCCCCTTTTCAATCGTCTTCGTGTTAAATCTCCTTTGACGACATAAAAACGTATTATGTCCATCACAACCTAGAATATACAATTCTGAATATAACTAATGAATAATATTTCTGTCAAAGTGGAACGGAATCGTACTTAGGTTTGATTACAAAAGTGCCTTTGGTACCGTAAAGGACGGACGTTATATATCATTTTTTTTTCAGACCAACCGATACAGATAATCTCATCGAACCCCAGTAATGTCGTTCATACGCAAGTGATAGCAACAGTGAGTGTACTTCGTTTATTATTTCAACAATAACATTGAACAAAATCAATGTGTTTATTATGAAAAAGACGTGTTCTAATTATGTATTTGTCGTTGCAGAACCATCACATAGCTCCACCACGGCCGAAGATTCACTTCTGTGTTGATTGTGGCAAAGGCTTTGCAGCTAAACACGGTTTACTAGCACATCATAGGAGGTAAAATATTCTAGCAGTGTGCCTCGTGTATTTGCAATCTACATTGTTTTTTAAGTGTTTCTAGAGCTGGACCACATAAACCCATCACAGGAGGTAAACTATTCTATATTCGCACTGTGTACACTGCCTTAGTCATTATCGCCGACCAATCACAGTTAAAATTTTGTGCGAGAGGGATAGCGCTCTACCAACTCGTTTCGGTGAATGGAGTATAGTAATTCGCCTCGTGTATGTACAATCTACATTGTTTTTTAACTATTTCTAGAGCTGGACGCATAAGCACATCATAGGAGGTCAACTATTCTAGTAATTTGCCTCGTGTTTTTATAATCTACATTGTTTCTTAAGTGTTTCTAGAGCTGGACGCACACCGTCCCCTTTACCACGAATAATAAAGTTATTTCCATGGTACGATTTAGAATGTGAAATGGTGAAATTACAGGCATGACACTTGTCAAGTATGTCTCAGGGTGACGGGCGCAGTGGCAATGCCCCTCAGATCTTTGAGATTTATAGCACTGAGTGGTACAGCAACTGTTATGGACAGGCGTGTCATTTACAACACAATAAAATTTCGTCAACTGCCTCCGTGGCCGAACGGTTACCGTGCCGGACTGCCACGCAGAGGTCCCGGGTACGATTCCCGGGCTGGGAGAATGATTTGTATGTCCTATATTAATTTCTCTAGTGAGTTTGGGTGTAGTTCGAGGTTGTATATTTGTGTCCATGGCACCCGCGATACAGGGTTTCCCTAGTGCGGGGCTGTGAGTGTGTGCGTTATTATTATTAATTTACTTCAATTAGTGTTGTAACAGACTTTGTCATGGCTTACCACAAAAAGATGTTAAAGAGAGGGAACACACTAAATTTATACATATCACCACAGTCACCACACTTATCGACACGGAATCGCACTAAGTCGGTCAGAAAAAGCTTTATGTCCATGTAATAAGCATTTACTTTTTAATCGAGTTTAAAAAAAGGAGGAGTTCTCAATTCGACTGTTTTTTTTTGTATGTATGTTACGCGATAACGACATTTGTGAACCGATTTTGATGATTCTTTTTTGTTGGAAAGAGGGTACCTCAGATGTGCTCGTATTTAAATTTGAAGAAAGTACTATCTACCTCTAAGGGTGGCAAACTAGGGGATGAATGACTTTTGAGGTCGGTTTTTTAGTACTCTGTACTGAGATTATCACTTACAATATTTTCACTCCTGACACTTTGGCTGCTAACCGATTGACTGCATGTTCGCAGTTAATTAGGGAAGTCGTAAACAACTTCACGCAGCCGAGTCCTCCACTGCATGAAGTTGATAACGACTTCACGCATTAACTGCATGTAGTCGAAACCGATTTCATGCAACCGCGATCGACTGCATGCATTTAATTGCTTAAATAAGGAGTGTAGTTGTCGGTATGCATTTGTGTGATATAAATTATTTAACTGGTTTCAATGACGTTTTATAATGTAGACACCCAGACGGTAGCTGTACACTTCGAACGCACGTGTGTGACCAGTGCGGCAAAGCGTTCTTCCAGAAGAACCATCTCATGCTGCATCAGCGACAACACATGGACTTACCGCCTAGAAATGTGAGCGTAAATATTGTATGACTTTTCACAAAATCTGACAATCATTACCTGAACGTATATATTTTATCTAGGCATGATGGTACCGAAATAACAAAACTGCTCATTTGTACAAATCGTAAACCCTGCTTAAATAGCTATATTTATCAACAGTGTCCATTGTTGTCTCTCTCGTCTCAAGGTAAATGATTTTCAATAATGGCTTTAAATTTTTTTGCAGTCACAAGCCCAACAACAAGCAAACCAGCAAGCGCAACAACAAGCACAGCAAGCTCAACAACAGGCACAACAAGCAGCACAAGTTCAACAGCAGGTTCAGCAACAAGTCCAACAACAAGTCCAACAGCAAGTGCAACAACAAGTGCAACAGCAGGTGCAGCAAGTGCAACATCAGCAGGTTCAGCACCAGAATAGTTTAGAGATGGAGCAGGATCATCAACAACCAACGCATATCCAAGTGGTGAGATTATCTTTTTTTAATTTAAGTTCCTGTACATATTCTTTAAATTGGGAATGTTAATGAAAATACCTGCTATAGACCAGTGACCATGAAATCACTAATGCTAGGGGAAAAATCATAAAAGCTAGCTAGGATCTTCTTGAATTGAAATTTTTAATGTACCTTTAATCTATATTCCAATAAAATAATATCGCATGACAATACCTGGTAAAGTCTGTTCCAATTCATTATGCCAGAAAAGTAAACAAACAGGTTTGGTTAAAATTCTAAAGCAATCACTTAATAAATGGAATAAGTAACACGTTCACGTATATTTTGAAGATTTCGACTTCGATATTTCATCACTATTACCAACAAAATTAATTTGATTAACACGTTATTTGTAAAATGTTAGTTCAAACGTGAGGTTAGTAATCAAATACAGATTTGTGAATAGTTTATGGTTGGTTAAATAACTGATTCGGTTCATTCAATTAAAGTCGATTAGGGAATCGAAAATTTTATCACAATCGAGCCAATATGTATGTGTATGATTTGAAGGAGGATTTAAAATTAGATTTCGGGTATTTTAAATTTGCTTTTATAGATTATGTAAGAAATAATTTCTAATCTCATGTATGAAATATCGTCACTCAGTATTGAATCACATATTTTTTTATAGTAATTAGGCGCGAAATAGCAAAACCCATTTTATTATATAAGTAAAACCCAGTTATTCCAACTGATTCAATTAAACAAATCAATTCATTCAATTAATTAATCGATTTGTAGTTGGCAGTACCATTTGTCATCACTAAACTGTCTATGGTCGGGTCAATGGTCTGTTTGTTTACTTTTCTGGTACATTGGATTGGAACACACTATAGTTCCAAGAGGTGAAAATATTTTTATTAAAACTAGTAACCTTGTACGGACTACGCCACGTATCCATTTACACTTAGGTTCGACTCGATATGTGTCTTTACACATTAGGTACATATTGTCTTTGTTCAATTCCAGGTGACGAACCGATCAGGCCAGGTGATTGGTAACCAGATCGTTGTCCGGCGCGCGTTGCTGCCGTCACAGCTGCACATCGTGGGCCGCGACGGCAAGCCTGTCGCTGCGCAGTTGCACCACAAACACCAGCGCCATCATGCCAATGGGTAAACAGCATTTTATTTGTTAACATGTACATTTCAGTGTACTCACCACAGTTCTGGGTAAACGACCTTTACACTAACCTTTAAAACGGTTGTTTGGTACCGGAAAAAGAATAGGATTTCATCGATATAAAGTTGGAAAAAAATGCGATACAAAATTCATTAACAGATTGATTCGTATGGGAAAGTTTGTCTCCCGTGATTTATAGGGCGCGGGAGTCTCCTAAACAAGAGGCCTCGCTCGTGATTGGTCGAGAGCATTCGCCTCTAGCGCTCCGCAGATCAAGGCAGGGTAATGATAGGTAGAAGAGTTTAGAAATAATTTTCCCATGCTCGACAATTAAATCTCGTTCTTATCATCTCTGTTCAATAAATTCACAATAATAATTCTACAATAAATTTGTCCACAGTGTGGAGGTGAGCAAAGAAATGGGCGGTCTAGTCCTATCAACGGGTCGCGGCGCGTCCTTGATCAAGTACGAAATCGCGTTACCGACTCAGAACTCTGTAGTGCAAGTGCAACAACTGGACTGAGACACGCCTACCGCTGAGACGGAAGAACATGAACCAGTGCTTGTGTGGGTCAACAAGTGAACATGTGAACGTTTAAAACGGCTCTAGGACGTAACAGGTGATATGTTAAACCAGGCTCTCTGAGGACGAAGTATAGAAAGCTAAAATGAATGGCCGTTACCTGTATCTGACTAGAAGCGACCCCATCACCACTCACCAACATAGTCTTCGAGAACGAGCATGTTTATAGAACTCGTGGCTTCGTGATGTGTGTAAATGGACTTGTTCATATGAAAATTTATGCCATGATCATCATCATTGTGAAAGTGGTTTTATTAGTGAATGGCGGCCTAATCCAAGATTGTACTGAGCTTAACGTATAGTGATGACACGGAGATGCAATTCACTGCAGTGAATCTGTGTGAAAGTCTATGGTTTATGTTAAAAAAGTGGAGTGAACAAAAGCCAGTGAGAAAAGTCAATTGACTGAACTTTTAAATGCCGCTGTGTTCGAACATCGGCTTAGGAATCGTTTGCAATAATTATTAGGCTGATTTTAAATATGTAATAGAGTGTAGCTGTCTCTTGTAAATTTCTCGTTAGACAGGTCTACCCATGTTTACGATCGCGTCAAGTGTCAAAATTGGCCAAACATCTAGTTTTGATATACACCAATAGAACGAGAAGCTTTATTTGAATAGACTCCTGCCTTCTGTAGATTTTTTTATATCATAACATTATGAGACGATACTTCTTACATTAAAATTCTAAACCGCAGAAAACTTTGTATTATAGTAAATAGAATTTAAGTGGAAATGTTCTAAAATTTAGAACATTTTTTGGTTAGTGTGGATGGTCGACTTGTAAAAAGACATGCCACGGTATTTGCGTCTGTAATTACTTAGCAATAAGTATACCGTAGTTACTAGTTTCCTTTGTACATATCAAGATGTTTTTTAACGGCATTGATGGTTTTTTGTAATTATATTATTATAAAATTGTACAACTTCTCTTGGGTACGCATTTAAGTTTGATATTTAGTCGCGTTTTCGAATAAGTTTCTGTTAAGTACATAAATTCCTATTATGGACAGTAATGTGCAATCAAAATTCAAGGTTAGTTGTAGATCTGATTAATTTTTTTATCAGAAAATTTTATCTGTCACTTATCTCACTTGGTATATCAAAGATGAATTAACTGCGGATTCATGTTATAAATATGACAGTTCACCTTTTGATAGAATATTTATTGACCATTGTTAGGAAGTTGTTATGGTTAATAAACTCGTAAGAAATTGGAAATGCAATAGATTGGCTAGGCATGTGCCTGGAAATTTACAATGCTATTTTTATAACAGCAGAAAGGAGCGAGTACCTCGTTAGTTTCCTATGTTTTAATTGATTGCATTACGCATTTTTAATACTAGGCTGGAGAAATAGAGTTCTCATTCATTCTTGTAACGATATTACATCACCTTGTTCGTCTCTTTTTATTCTATGGACAATGATTGGGTTGACGGCGTCTTCGTGCAACTAATTCGCGATTCTTGGTGCAACTAACTGGTAACGTCCTTAAAAAATTACCAAGAATAAATACACATATATAAAGAGATTGATGCGAGCGGATGAGGTGAGAGGTTAGGAGCTTAGTAAGTGGAGGTTTATGATCTCTGCCTACCCCAGTGAGAGACAAGCGTAATGGTATGTATGTCAATTTATCAGCAGGTTTTCTTCGTTATTCTACTGTTTTGTGAATCGAGTGAAATGAAGTTGAAAATTAAATAATGCAATTATTTTTACTAACTTTTTACTTAGCAATTTCTTAATGCATTAGTAAAATGAACTTTAAATGTATTGGGCATGATATTTTGTAGTCTATCGTTAATGATAGCGCGTTTTCATTTTGCCTTCAACTAGCAAGTTTGACGTTACACATATAAAACTTTGAATACATGTTAATGAAATAAATTTTATTTTCTGTATAACAAATTTTACTCGCAAGTATTAAAAGTAACATGAAATTTTGTTTATAGTTTAAAACAGTGTTGGGTAAAGTACGACCCGCAGGCCAACTCTGGTCTGGCTTTAATTCGGCCCGCCAATATATATATATATCGTAATAACGTATTCATTTTAACATACACACAAAACACAAGAATAAATTAAAAATTTTTCAAAAGAAAATGCATTTTTTTTATTCTGGCTCCCGGTGAAATTTCTTGGTTTTCTGGTCCCTGGTTTAGATATTCATTGCTCATCTTTTCACTATTCAAATTGTATGAAAGTAACTTCCATTATATAAACACTCTTAGTACAAAGTGAGATGAGTGACAAATAATAATGTATTAAGTCTTCATAATTCGCTATGTGTCTAGTCTGTGATATAGTTCTCTGCGCCCAAGCGAGCTGGTCAGCTAAACTATGAACTTTGTGGCTAGGATATATTTTAGACGCGACTAAATTACAAGTACGCGATTTCACTTGACCGTGACGTAAAAATTGTTATATTTTTGCGAGTTGGTACTTCGTTCTGTACAACTGTAACGGACATAATTTACGATTCTTTTAAAAGCAAATTACTAGCACATCATTACCAAATTAAATTAAGATCATTATGGTAACTCCGTACAAGGTAACAGCGCGGCTTGTATGTGTGCGCGACGGCCGCGCGTCGTGCGCGCGAGTGCATAGCGAGATAGAGATATTTGACTTATTATACTATGTCATTACATACACTCATGGACATATTTAAAGGAACGCTAAAAAGGTTGAATTATGATAATGTCCATACATTGAGTGTAATACTCGATGTGTCCATAAGAACCACTACTCGCATACCAGAACGTTTAATTTAAAAAAAGAATGACGCCTCTTGTCTTTTGATTTCGATTAAACGGCCAGTTGTTCATGAAAACATTGTCATTATAATTCTATCTACAGATATTTTTAGCCTAAATATCTGTAGGTAAGAGGCAAATACTGCCCTCGTAACGAAAAAAAGCACAAATATGCGTACTTTATACATCAGTTGTGCCTTTTTCGTTCTGAGGGCATAATAACTTTAGGTCCATATTTTTGTATTTACATTTTTTACAAACAATGCTTTAGGATGCTAAAAATCACGCAATGGTAAAAGACATTAAGTCCTTCTGTCGTTTGTTTTTTATTTAACATATTTGACCTTAAGATTGATTTGAAATGCCTAATTAATAGCCTCATTGTTTTTAAAACGCTCTGTAATAAAAAATACTATTTGGCATTTAAGATTTCTTACCTCTCGCCTACAGATCTCGTCCATGAGTGTAGCACATGAATTTTTGAATCGACACGAAATCTTCAATTTACTATACGTCACACTGTTGAGCACGAGACTCTCTAGTCCGCTACGGTAGCTCAATGCGAGGTGGGGACCATGCATGTGGTTTGAAGGTTTCATCCCGATGATTTTTTTTTCACCGTTGGCGAAGTATTTCTGCTATACATTCACAAATGTTCATAAGTGACAAGTATACGCCAATACAGAGTTTCTAACAGTCTACTTCGCCATTGAGAAGCAAGTAAAGTAAGAAAAAAGTACGCACTCTTGGTGTAATAAGGCCATATCAGCCAAATGATAACATTTCAGAAGAAAGGATAAAGATTCTACGAACGAAATTAGTCTTTATATTTTTTATGCTTAAGTAGGAGTTATAAAAATGTCTCATATACATAATTAGTTTTTTGTTTGTATTATTTTTATAACTTTCATGTTACAAAAGCTCCTTTGACGTATGATTACTTGTGGCTTTATTACACCGACGAGGGAAGAATTGTAAGTTATATCCATTCGTAATAAACGGGCCGATTTTTCACGACAAAACAAAATGGCGCTTGTATAATTTAGTAGCGTAATTTTCGTTAATCTTTGCTTAGGTTAAGATCAACAATTACAGTACTATTTTTTGTACTGCCCTTGTCATAAACAACGCGTTTGTATTTTGGTAACTTTCGTGATATTGGCACCTAACGTTCTTTTTCTTTGAAAAATGTTAGTTACGACAATTACGATTTTGCTTACCAATAAAACAGAAACTAAATAAGATATTAAAAACCTATTAGAGGGGATTGTAGATCACGTCTCGCTGATTCGAGACATGTTAATAACTCAATTTCACTAAAATGTCGATTACGTTGTTTATATAAAGACGGCAGTATAGGCCAAGCTTCGAAGCTGTTGGAGTTTTACGGAAGATAATTATCACTTTATTAACCTATATCATTTTACTGTATTATTTTACATTATAGTTTTCCCGTTCATCAGTTCACTTAGTTATAAGATAATTATTGGTTAAGGTAACACAGTGACATACTTTAGTCATCAGATGTATTTCTTGAAAACTTGTATGTTGTTATCAGACAATTTAACCATCAACTAATCGTTTAAAAGTTTATTTTAATTGTTTAGATATAGGGTTAATGTAATTCACCGGATTCCGTAAAATTCGAATGAATGCGAAGCATGGATTTATAAAAATAAATCTGGCTGCTAAAGTTCTATTTTTAAAAGGCTAAGCTTCGGTCTAATATCGTCATATAAAATCGTCAAATGATACATGATTCATTAATTTTATAGTAATCATAGATTTTTATACAATTGGCCTATTTCCCTCAGACATACGGTGTGATAGTCCATTCGCGTTAATCAAGCAGTAAGTAGTTGTCATATAATGTTGTGTCCGTTTTTCCACTATGACCACGATGACCTACGGAACTACTTTCGATGTTCGTCAACCAAAAGACGGACCCGTTCGAAACTCAAATCTGTAGGTTATCCATAATGGGAAAACGGCCGTAACTACAGACTTGCTGCTTCCAGTATGGCCTCAGTTGTTAACTACGGTCTTACTCTCCTATGAAAACGTTACACTACTTTGTTAATGGATCTCCTGTATGGCCCACTTCGGACTTAAAACAATGTTACCTGTAAGCTTAAGCTTTTACAGTGACGCCGCTTCTAAATAAATTTGGTTGAATTCATCGACTGAAATGTCGTCTATCATAAAATACGGCGACGTAATCTGGGAACAGGGCTGGGTAAACTGCGTGCTCTGCCATCTATTTAAATTAACAATCACAATTTCTGAGGAAATATATCATTTGATCATGGGGTGTTCGGATGGAAGCTATCAGGGTGCGGCTTGATTGCACAGGTTGTTTTTGGTACATTGAATGTTGTGTGGTTTGAATCCGTTTTGTCAGAGCCAATAAGTAGTGCCGTGAAGATAAACAGTTATTTGCAAAATACTAACGACCTTCCAGGACTGTAATACTAACATCATAAATTACAACTTTGTTCCATGACTTTTAATAATTGGTCAGATTTTACTTTCTTATAATAACAAACTAGTGGAGTAATTTCACAAAAAATAATTGAATGTCAATTTAATACAAATTTAATTAAAGCTCATAGCGACATCTCTAGCCAGGGTTGGTAGCTGTAAAGTTACCTAACTGAGTGGCGAAATATTTTCATAGATTTCTCTTAGATAACTCTGTGCAAAACGCGGGAGTCGTCGGTGAGGACGCTTGCACTTTTGAACTTACTACCTTACTACCAAATACAGACAGATCTAAAAAGTGTCAGATAGTACAAAAAAACTGAAGTTTATTTTTGGTAAATTTATCATGTTTTGCCAAAAATCACGTCAAAGAACAAATGTTTATGATTTTAGTAATCTAGTCCTGCAAGGCTCTTAGTATTTTAAAAATAACCCTGTAATATATTTGGTTAGGTAGTTTTTTGATTTATCTTTTTAAGTTCTATTATAGTGTTTTCTTGATGTATGTTTTTCTAATGGGGTTTACTGTTCAATAATAATGAAAGCCCTAAATAAATAAAGAGCTAAAAAATAATTAAAAAATACATTACTGTCAGACATTTGAAGTGCCAATTATATACAGTTTAGGGAGCAATGTAAATACAAATATAAAATACGTATTTGTATTTCAATTGAATGTAATTGCATAATTCAAATACTAGCCAGCCCAGCCTGGGATCTTATCCAAAGCTCTTTCATAAGTAACATGCGGATATTAGCTTTTGTCGCAGTATTTTTCCTATTAGCAAACCTACTATATTATAATGTTGCAGGGAATTCTTGAACCTTCGCTGTAGCACCGCTATTTCTAAATAAAAACTTGCTGTTAATGATTGAGATGAATATCTCGGCATTGTCTTAATCCAAGGTTATGTAACTTATGTAGCTTCCGACATATTGGTGGTATATCTTGCGTATTTTACGTAATTTTGGGTTATTTTTCTTCCTCGTACATGTTTTACGTCGTCGTTTTTGTTTCTAGGTGTCGTACCTACGTGCGAAATGCCATAACATAGCGTCGATCGCGTGTGTTGGTCGAATTTTTACGAGACCTTAAATCATGTGTCATCGTGGGTTGAGCCCGTTTTTGTTTTAGGAATAATGATACAATTGATCCCCGATCATGTGTGATTTCTCAGTTTGGTTTCCTTACTTTTTAAACCACAGTTAACGCGAATGGACTGTAGTTTGTTGACATAAGTATTGACTTCAAACGAACTGAAACAAATATTTGTGGAACAACTTTACTGTATTAGAATTCAAACGAAGTAAATGCTTTGCTAGTATTATACCGTCTATCAACGAAGATATTATAAAATCGCTCATTATAACCAGATTTAAAAAATGCACAATTATAGAAATTGCTTCACAAGATCTGATAGTTAAGAATAAATATTACAACTTTGTTGCATGCTGTAACGCTCTATTTACAGTATCTCATTTAGTTACTACAAAAGTAAGCGAGTGCCTGTCTACAACATATTGAATTTACCTACTTTCAAAACACTTGCTAGTATTTGCGATTTTATAATACCTTGAAAATCCATGAAGTAATGCAGCAGTATTAATTATTATTTGTCATCAAAATCAAACGTGAGACGGAAGTGACTTGTTAAAATTTATCATTGTATCCTTTGAATCTTGACATTGTTTGCCATTTACTTATTACTTGTAAATATTTATAGTTGATTGATATCTATAATTTTTATATTAAATGAAAATATACAATTATATAATCTATCTTTTTGTTTTTAAATGAAAGTCCGCCAAAAGTCGCTTCGTAAAACAATCAACATGTGTCCTGTACACACAAGGACAATTGACGTGGAGTTTTTTTATATAAAGAAGGAGACAACCGAGTCGACGAGCCACTTCATGGGAGGTGGTCATCGTCGCCCATGTACATTTGCAACATCAGATGAGCTGCCTATGCGTTGCCAGCCTTTGAGAGTCCTGTAAACACGCTTTTTGAAGAACCCCATGTCATAGCACAAAGGGAACACTTCAGGAGGAAGATCATTCCACACCTTGCAGGTTCCAGGAAGAAACGAACGAGATGCCCGTGTGGTCTTACAATGCCTGGCATCTAAGATGTGGACATGGACTCTACTCCTTTGGCGGGAGGTGCGATGGTAGAAACGAGACGGTGGCACCAGTTCGAAAATTCCTCAGAGCACTCCCATTATAAAGATGGTAGAACACACACAGAGAGCCAACGTCTCTCCGTAAGCTAAGGGGCTCCATACCGTCTGTGAGTTTGGGATCATCGATAATACGAACAGCCCTACGTTGGATAGAGTGAAGTGGATCAAGCTGGTATTTGGGAGCTCCTGCCCAGAGATGCGAGCAATACTCCTTATGGGGCCGTACTTGTGTTTTATATAACAAAAGTCGGTGACCTGGAGAGAAGTACTGCTTCGCTCTATTGAGCACTCCGAGCTTTTTTGAAGCCAGTTTGGCTTTGCTCTTCAAATGACTCCGGAACTGGGCTTCGCTCGTGATATCGACGTGGGATACTTGGCCCAATACTCTTTGAGATGGTAAGGGCAGTGTTCTGAAACGTTGGCGCTATTACGAATGGGGATTTTTTAGCGGTAAACGCGCACACTTGTGTCTTTGCGGGGTTAAATTTTACTAGATTCTGTTGGCCCCATTCTGAGACCTGCTCCAAAGAAGTCTCGATTTTGGACACAAGTTGCAGTCTGTTTTGTTCCACTTGTTGGTGAGGCATATTTGTGCGACCTGTATAATAGGCATCACCGGTACTGTCGGATGACATAGCAATGAATGTTACTAGTTAATAACATATCATTGATATGGAGGATTAACAGAGTTCGTGATAGCACAGATGGGAGTGAATTAATAATAATCAGAGTTAATTTTGCTCTGACTTTCGTAACAAAAATTTCTTTCCATTCCGTTAATAGTATGCCTGTGATTATGCTGGCTTTCTTCTTCTATCATTCAAACCGGAACACAGTATTGCGGCTTTGTGGTAGAAATAGTCACGACGGTGGTACCTACTCCGGTGGGAATGTTCAATTTCCGCACGCGAAACGAATTATAATTAAATCAACGCTCAATTTCTCTTCGCTTATTGGAATCACGTTAAAATTCTATGATAAAAGTTTGTTACGCGGTTGACTTGCAGAGATGTATGTGGAAAGTTGAGGCTTCCACATAAATGAATTGTTGTGAGTACATTTTATGTTGCGCACTTATTTTATTTGTACCTATACATATATCGACTCATCCGTAGAAGAAAGGTATATGTGCAAGATTACTTGTTCTCAGGACATAGTACATTCCGTTCGTTCTTTTCACTGTGGATGTCAGATAGACTGTTGTTCGATTTTATAATTTCCGAAACGAAACAAGATATATAAATTCTCAAAACACCTTTACATAGGCCTTAGTTTGAGTAATGAAATTATTCTCTTTTCGCTATTTAATCACGTCGGATTCTGTCCTTCGGATGAGTCGATCTTTTAACTACGATGCGAAGACTAGGAAAAATTGTTATGCTTCGTATTTTGACTATTATGTAGTTACGCCAAAAACGCGGAACATTTGTGATGAATTGATGATCTACGCGAACGCATTCGCAGGCAGGAGTTTGTATAAACGTATTACGACATTGGTTTCATGTTGCTCCATATTTTTTATTTTTAGCAGCACAGACCATAAATATAGTAGCTGCTACTGTAACTATACAATAATAGCTACTATATTTGTGTCAAAACTTAAAACACTGTCAAAATTTAAAAATAAGTTGTAAAACTTACCAAAAATGTGGACACTTTCAAAATAGTTAATTTTGACATACGTGTGCATTTTTCAATTGTTTTCAATTTGCAGTTCAGTGCACCTTCACACAAAGATAAATTTTTTGCTAATGTGCAAAGTGTAGACGGGAACTTTGGATGTATGTTGAGATCATTATAACACTAATTGTTCTCGCTAAAATATATATGAACTTCTTCAATTCCAGTTAAGCAGTATGTGTTCTCCTTCACGTATTTTTTGGTTGTTGACTGGACGGAGGGACTTGAAACTTCCACTGCTGAACCTACCTATCCAGACCCTCGGAATGATCCCTTAGTGTTCATAGCCAACCCGATCGAAGCAAATTTGCCAGGTCATTGGATGCCGTTAAGTATAGTTAAGGTCATATTAGAGCGGACCAGTCCCAAACCGTACTATGCCAAGCCGGTAAAGGCACCGCCTTATGATATGCCTAAAGATCCACCAAAAAAGCCAAATAAGCCAAAGAAGCCAAAGAAACCTAAACAACCGCCTTACTCTGAATCAGAGGAGGAGTCCGAAAGCGAAGAAAGCGGGGAGACGGAATCTGAACCAGAACCAGAACCCGAACCTGAATCTGAACCTGAACCTGAATCCGAACCTGAGCCTGAACCCGAACCGGAGCCTGAACCTGAACCTGAACCCGAACCGGAACCGGAACCAGAACCAGAACCAGAACCAGAACCAGAACCAGAACCAGAACCGGAACCGGCACCGGTGCCTGCATCTACAACGAGTAAAAAGCGAAGGAAACCTAAAGACAGTCACGACAATATGCCATAAACAGGTGATTTCGTTGTTAAATGTTATTAAAACTTAAAGTAAACAATTTTCTATTTTGTTGTACTTCAATTCAGTGCTACTACGAGTAAAGAAACATGTACCATAAGTAAATGAAGAAGTGCTGTTATTTGAACAATTAATTAAATATCGAGTTCGTAGGTTTTTGCGATTGTTACACATGGGAAATGAAACAATATTTTTTCGGATTTAATGGCCATGGGACCTGTAAAGGGCCCGAAACGTCGGTTTGTTTGAAAAAACAAATATACGCGATTTAAATCCGGAAAAATAGTTTCATTTCCTATGTGTAACAATCGCGAAAACCTAAGAACTCGATATATTTTTCCGGATTTAAATCGCGTATATTTATTTAGTTTCTTCGTACCACCAGTTTGGGATCCAGTATTTCCTTTGATGAAAAATGCCAAACAGAAGACTGCAGTAACGTTTTATTTTTTTTGTAATTTCCATTATTAATTAATTATAAATTTAACTTAATAAAACATCATAGTCTGGCACGGTAAGCTAGAAGATGTCGGTTCGAATCCGGCCGGATCGAAGGAATTTTTTCTGAGTGTTCGATCTTTGTATTAATCATTATAACAAACTAGTGGAGTAATTTCCCAAAAATTTAATTGAATATCTATTCAATAAAAAATTAAAATACAGTGAATGGCGACATCTCTCGCCAGGACTGGTAACTGTAAAGGTACTAACTGGGTGATAAATCTTTCATAGATTTCTCATAGATGGCGCTACGACTAAAAAGTCGTCGAAAAACCAAATACAAAGACACGACGCAAGCTCATGGAAAAATTCGTGAGGTCCCCTGGTTCGTTCTGTGGCTTAGTTGATATCGCGTCTGGCAGTGTTGGGCAAAATTTAATTGATCTAAAGATTGACAATTAATTAATTGTCAATTGCGAAACAGCAATTAACTAATTAACAATTAATTAATTGTTAATTGCTGTTCTCGCAACTAACAATTGATCAATCGTTAATCGCGTATATCTACAATTAACAATTAATCAATTTTCAATCTTTTCAATGTTTTTGATTAACAATTAACAATCAAAACTGACAATTATGATAAATTTATAGGGCAAATTTATAGGGTGGGTTAGGGTGGTTAGGTTGCCTCCCAACCGACCCCCCAACTTGCCTTCAACCGGTCCCCAAACAGCCCCCCCAACCGGCCCCCCAACCAAGCCCGCAACCGGCCTTCAACCGGCCCCCAAACCGGGCCCCCAACTGGCCCTCCAACCGGCCCTCCAAACGGCCCCCCAATCGGCTCCCAACCGGCCCCCAACCGGCCCCCCAACTGGCCACCCAAGCGGCCCCCCAGCAAGCCCCCCCAACCGGCCCACCAACCGGACCCCCAACCGGCCCCCAACCGACCCCCCAACTGACACCCTAACCCACCCCCTAACACAATTAATATAATTATATTAAATCAATTGCGACGCGTGGCAATTGATTTAATTGCATTTGATTTCAATTGAATTGATTTTTTAATCTGATAGAATTTCTGATTGAAATTGAATTGATTAACGCCAACACTCTGGCACGGTAAGCTAGAAAACGTCGGCGTCGGTTCGAATCCGGCCGGATTGAAGGAATTTTTTCTGAGTGTTCGACCTTTGTATTAATAATTATAACAAACTAGTGGAGTAATTTCACAAAAAAAAAAATATCAATTCAGTAAAAATTAAAAAAACATTGTTAAAATAAAATAATTTGTAAAACAGATGTAGCGTAAATTTAAATGTTCTTTGTATAATTAAAAATAAGGTATTTAATAAATAACTTTTGTAACTATAGTAAAAATTTGGGTGGTTTGCATTAATATTAAACATAACTGGTTGATGACTTTACCACCTCAGTCAACCGTGACTATGGGACCTGTAAAGGGCCCGAAACGTTGGTGTGTTTGAAAAAACAAATAAACGCGATTTAAATCCGGAAAATAAGTTTCAATTCCTAAATTAGTTAAATAAATAGTTGAAACAAATAACAATAAGAATATATATTTAAAATACATATCACAGTGATTTCACGTCACTTCAGGGTGTAAAAGCATCATGGTGGTTTCGACTTATCATCGCATCTTTGTATTCGCGTAGTAGAGCTCCTTTTGAAAGAGTGCGTTCAAGGAAGTACCTATTTCTGCCGCCAAGTAGTAATGTCAGTTTTACTGTGTTTCGGTTTAGCTGGGGTGCTGGTGAAATTACAGGCACATGGGACTTGTCAACATAGGTCTCAGGATGGCTGACGCCGTGACGCTCAGGTTTTTGTGATTTAAAGAGATATTTAAAAGATCTGAGTGGCACTGCAACTGTTATGGACAGGCGTGTAGCTTACCATCAAGTGCACGCCTTGTTCGTTCGTCATTTAAAATATAGAAAGAAACCGAAACTAACTTGAATTTTCTTTTTAATAGCGGTCTCATTTATACGATAAAAACATTACACAAACATTTTGTGTCCATCTAATAAGGAAAAATCAAATTTCATCCCTTAGTGATAACAAAGGGTAATCCCAAAGGATATATTGCATGAGAGTAAGAGTTGCGTGATGAGATTCGCTTCGAGTCGTACAACTTTCTTGGCAATTTCACATTATGGGGTTCTTTTGTTTATCACGTGTTTTATTGAAATTGAAACTGGCGACGGATTTGACTCGGTGAGTATACTGCCGTCCACTGAGTAAAATCCGGCTAAGTGACAAGTGCTTAAATATCCGTTTTTAACCGACTTAAAAAAAAGCGGAGGTTCTCAATTCGACTGTATTTTTTTTTGTATGTTACGCGATAATTCCGGTATTTGTAAACCGATTTTGATGATTCTTTTTTGTTGGAAAGAGGGTACCTCCATTGTGGTCCCATTTAATTTTGAAGAAAATCATCCACCTTTAAGGGTGGCTGTTCACGTATGAAGATTCATTTTTATAAATAGCGCCTAAATTTTATTATAAGGAGCAATTATTTTAATGGTTAATTTTGCTTTTCTCCAATTCAAGGCGTTTTTATCTCTCAATATACTTTGAGTAGTGAGAACCGATTTTTATTATCTCCTGTGTCAAGTTCCGTATAGTGGCGAACTAGGGCATGAATCCGGGTTTGCGCACTTTCCGGTAACCGATTGCAATAAAACTTGGCAAATAGATGTGATGTCACGTACTTTTGAGGTCGGTTTTTTTGTACTCTGTACTGAGATTATAAATAGCATAAGATAGAGCTCAAAATTCTCTATTTAAAACCATTTAATGTGGTACATAGCTAATAATAATAACGCACACATGTGTGGCGCGGGTGCCATGGAGACACACATAAGCTAAAAATTAATTAAACAATTTCAATGAAATAAAATTCTAAAACTGGGTTTTATGGTATACTTTATGATACTTAATTAAAAAAAATTACTTTGTCACATAGTCGGCCGCGTTTTAGTTAGCAGATGGCAGTATAGGGAAAAAGCTATTCAATATTTACAGAGCGAGGTGACGGAAAACCCGCCTAAATAAGGTTTTGACCCATACTATGTTCTTCATCACCATCATTAACCCATTAATACGTTCCACTGCTGGGCAAGGGTCTCCTCTCAGGCGAGGGTTTAGCCATAGTCCGCCATGCTGGCCCAATGCGGGTTGGGGACTACACACATTTTCTGAGGGTTATGAACCTTCATCGACGTGCAGGTTTCATCACGGTGTTTCCTTTTCCGAAAGCTCATGGTAAAGGAGAAGGGTCACGTATGACCCACTTCCGGTGCAAAAGAAACCTACCTCAAGGTATTGCTTATATTAGGTAAGTAAATTTTGTATAGTTTTTGTTTTCGATATCAGTGGCTAACATGTCAATATTGCCTTTTGTTTTTGCTCAGGCGTATAGAGTAAGGTAAAGTATGCATGTATAAACAAACGCCTACGACCATTGCTTACAAATAAATGGACGACGGGTCTAATACAAAAACCACGAAAAAAATGTCCCAAGTCAACCTATTTAAACGTAGTGACATGTAAAGGAATATGAAAAAGTTAAAACGTTGAATTTAAATTGTAATGTCATCGCAGTACTGTCCAATTTTGCTTGCTTCGCTGTCAGTCGAACAAACGAAGACTAAAGCGTGAATGACGCTCTGTATACGATTTTAACGCCCTATAAGTTCGGACACTTTTTAGCGCGGACCCGACGTCCATATAATTGTAAGTCAATGCCTACGACAGTTTTTGTTTTCTAACTATTCTTGAAAAACCATTAGAAGGAAGTACCTATCATTTGACCAATCTAGGTAGGAATAATATAGTAAATAGAAGAAAACAGAAATAAAAAACAATAGTTAGATACTATTTTTTTGCTTTACATTATATTCTTATAATTAATTGTCCGCGTCTAATAACACTGCTGTGCGAGGTTTTTTGCGCCGGGACTGAGTTAATTTTCTATGGGCTGTGACCCTTCTCCTTTCAAATTAATTTTAGCACTTAAATTCCGAGAAGCTCACGAGGTGTGACTCCGGATTGGAACCAATGCCTTCGCTTGTGAGGCGATAGGTCAAATCATTAGGCTCCCACGGATTACTAAGTTGCAGAGTAAAAAAAATATTTCTTTTACAGACGATACGATGTTAAAAGTCAATATCACAATATAAACCAATCTAAAGTTCTCGCCCACCATGACATCCAACCACACTCAAAATCATATCGTAAATACTTTAAACGGTATTCTTTATGGCGTTTATAGTCTAAACATTACACAATTGCCTAGCCTAACCTAGCCTTATAAGTTACGGAGCCATAATTAACGGAAAGTTCCCGTATTTTGTTGCGTAGTTTGTTGTCGCTTGCTCTGTTGTCAGACATTGACGGGACAATTATTCATTGGGCTAACTGAATGATAAAACACCGTATACTATATAATATAGTGTGATTAGTTTTGTCTTTTATTTCCTCCAATGTGACTGAGAAATATAAATATACATTAATAAAAATGCGACATGTGATCGTCTACAAAATAATACTTATTTAATGTTAAAACAACAATGTTTGTATCTAAAACAATAAGTCTATAATTGCTTATATAATCTACTTTAAATCTTTAAAAATATCACAATATTCAAGCAGCGTTCTGCAGAACGAAGAAGTACGGAGGTTGCAGTCTATTTACTCCAGTGGTGACAAGATTCGGCGCTGGCCCATGCCATTCAAGTCTGTATTTGTCAAAAACCCTAGTTGCTAAGGCTGCTAACATCTTTCCAACAATTCTACTGGCTGGACAAGACTCTCCAAAGGGCATAGATGCTAAAGAATGGGCTCTTGAAGCTTTTAGTGGTTCCCAACCTTCGCTGCACCAACGCTCGGGTATAAATGCTCGCGCTCTGCCCCATTGTTCTTCCAATTTGCTGGTTACACCGTGTGCGAGGACTATATCCACCTGGTAAAAGAAAAATTACCAAAAACATTAAACCTTAGTGTTTCTCTGAAACATTTTTGCCTCCACCTCAGTACATCCGGGACGCTCATGAGAGCGTTAGTTTTTTTTTCAGACCTGGGTATTTATTATTCGGTAAACCTTGAGATCTCATTTATGATGAAGTCTCATAGATTCAGACAGTTTTTTTAAAACTGTTAAATGGTTTCAAAACCGTGAAGAATATATTAAAATATATATCATTGCAGAACATTATTCAAATAAATCCTTGCAAAATTTTGGAAAATAAAATCGATAATCTGAAATACACGACTAGTCTCATCGCGAGTGTAGCAATTTTATAATAACAATAAAGCGCACATACTCGTAATCTCGCACTAGGGAAACCACAGACATATACTTATATATATGTCGGTGAGGGAAACCCATAGATATAGGGGAAACCCTGTATCGCGGGTGCCATGGATACACACATACACAATCACAAATTACACCCTAGGCCTAGACTTATTTATTGGTTCTCGTGTATTTACACGAGAGAAATAAATCTAGGCCATATAAATATTCCTTTCGGAATGGAACCCGGGACCTCTGCGTGGCAGTCTAGCATGGTAACCGTTCGGCCACGGAGGCAGTTTGTCTGATTCTGCAATAGTTAATCTATTTCAAGACCCCTTTAGGGTCGATTCTTCACTAAACTTCTCATTGCAAGTGGTTAATGCTATTTTCGTGGTGGCGGGGGCGCTGATCGCTAGAACTTTGCCACGATGAGGACGACGGGGCGGTGTGGTTCCTATCAGGTGTTGGGAGTGTTCCGGTGCGCATTGTCCATCCCGGTTCTCTCATATTTATGTTTTCTGTGACGAACAGGTCAATGGGAGAGAAGGTATTCCCCGGTATTCGCGGATCAGGAGCTTAGGTTCGAGAACTGAGTGATACGGTCCATACGAACAGCACCGCTTTATTACTATTTCGTCTCCTGCTGCAAACTAGGCCTCTTAAAAAATATAAACAGTTGACAAGAAAGATATAGATAGCTGGCGATTGCTCTAAAAAAGTGTTAGGTACTGCTTATCTTGGTACCTGGAGATACGATTTTTAAACGGAGTTATTTGGAATTCATTTAGAGTTAGCAGCAAGCAAACGATAAGAATATTTAAATGAACTTACACCAGGTGGAACTTCATATCCACCAACAGCCAGTTCTTCCGTGCTACGTCGAACCACTCCACCAGTTGCAGGATGTAGCCTCATTGCTTCCCTTGCACAGGCTGCAATGTACGGCATGTCAGGACATCCGGCGCCAGCGTCTATTGAAGCTGATGCCCAATGGACCTCGTCGTGAGCTCGTTGTTGCTGTGCCGCATGTAGAGACATTTGGTACAACATGCTTACTGCTGTTTGTACAAGCTGTGAAACCGAAAGCATCAGGAACAGGGTACTTGAATTTGTGAAAATTTTGGCCTTTGTTGCATATAGTTAGAACCACACCAATTTAAAAACGAATTTGAAAAATACTATTTATTATGATCACTGCACGGGTTCAATGATATACTCGAAAGTAGATTAAGCTTCCATGTATTGGAAAGCACTAAATAGTGTCATGCAATTTGTGTTGAATCTTATTTCAATATAGTGCCCGTGTTTTTTAAATTTATACTCACGGGATCGACTCCGGCTAGCAGGGCGTCGGCGGCTAAAGGAAGTAATCCGTTTTCTAGAGGTCGTAGTTTATCTAACAGTACTTGTTCTTGCCTCAATTTGCCACTGTTCAGTTCCTGCATAGCTTGTTTTAAAAAGTGTTCGGTCAAGCTGTAAAAAATACATAGATCAATTTTAAATGGATGGAACAGTTTGTAATTAGAGAAGTCTGTTTCGCTTGGATTCATTCATTTGGATTCATTCGTTCATCCAATTTTCGAAAGAAAGCCGAGTACAAATAATATCAAGTACCCACCTAAAATGTGTATCAAAAGCCTTTAAGGCGTTATTGAAGGTCTCCGAATCGGACTTAAGAGTCTTCTCACTCCTAACGAGGAAACTCCCATCTGCTATTTCCCTGGTACACTTCACCATTCGCTCCGCTGCAGTCAACTGTTCTAACGGCTTCTTAGACAAGGAACATAAATCTGGGATATCGTCGTCCATGGATGTCTTTTCTGGTTTTCTGGAACGGTACATCTTTGACGTAATTACCTTAGGCAATATAAACAGATTGTGATTGGGTGATCTTTCTGTTAATTCAATGTAAGAGAAGCATTTATACTGTACAGTAGCCCCAAACCTAACAAAATTGTATATCAAAATCCAGTAGTACCTGTTTTCTTCAGTAGGTATATGCACGGCTCCGTCTAAGCATCCAAGTCTTATTCCAAACATCATGATTCCTAGAGTCTCCAATGCCCATCGGTATATCTCTGTTTCCAACTCTTCATTTAAGGCATTTTCTGCATGGCGGAGATCTCCAAGTCTGAAAGATGTTAACCAAATATTTTGAGACGTTGACGCAGATAGGACATCTAGAGATTATGTTGGGATTTCTTAATTAGTTTGGGATTTCTTGACGGTCCGTGTTTCCATTACTCTGAAACAAATGGAAATCGTACAAGACTTTCATGTATTATTTGTTTATATATATGTCGTTTTTAAATCGTAATGGTGTCGTGTGATAGTACAAGCCAAGTAAAGAGCAATTAAAATTGCGAAGTAAATTAAAATGTCACATTGATAGCAACCGCCAACAATACCTTCTCGTTGCATCTGTGGCAATATCATCGAAGATTTTGTCGTAATTTTTTATCACTGTACCATCTTCGAGAAGTGTTCGTATTGCTGTCCAAATAGCTTTCGATTCGCCCCTGTAAACAAAGAAAAAATAATTTAATATGATACGTATATTTCCGTCTTCTGACGATATATAGCATTGTCTCGTCTGACGACGATCAAAATCATTGCGGTAGACGAAGATGGAAGTATCGTTTGACGTGGGCTATGAATTGTGATTCTACTAAGAAGTGCTACAGCGTCTTGAGTAATTTAAAAAAATTCTAAGCAGTTAAATACTCGTCAGTATAATATAGAGGATTGTCTTTAAGTATTTTGCGGACCTCCGTGGTTGAGTGGCATGCACACCGGTTTGCATGGTGTCGCCATCTCTCAATGTAGAAACTAGTTTTTCTATTTGTCTCGGGTCTGGATGTTTGTGGTACCATCGTTATTTCCGATTTCCATAACACAAGTCCTTTAGCTATTTGCTTTGGGATCAGAGAGACGTATGTGATGTTGAGTTATATTTATATTTAAGTAGTTTGGAATTTTATTTCTTACTCATTCACAGGGCACTTCTGGGTATTGAATCTCTGCTTGCTTAGCGGCGATCGCTCCCAGAAGGGTGGCACTGTGACGTTGCTGTCGTACACCTGACAACAAATATTCAATGTTAGTTTACAATCTTTTTAGAACCTCGACTTGGAGAAACAGAGTTAAACATGTGAGAGTCAGAATGGCGGGTGTATCTTAACGTACCCAGTTGAATTTTGTACCAGAAAAATTGTATCTTGATCAGAACGAAATTCTAGAAATATCAAAGGTATACCTGTCAGATTGATACAAAAAAGGCGGGTATGTGTATCTTAAATTATTTTTCCATCCTCTAAGATCTTGAACTTAGACTATGGAACTATCTTAAATGATCAGTTTTATTTTTAATTTTAAATACTTATTATTCAATAGGCAAGTGGTTACTCGTCTCGCCACCAGACCACTCCTGTTTTTCGTTTGCTAAATAAAATTTCGGTCTTACAAAACGTGAAATGTGAAATGTTTTAGTGAAATAATTATTATTATTAGAGATAGTATTATTTAGCAAAGACAGTTTAACTTTAGAAAATTAGAAAAAATATAAATTTAATGTAACTTAATTAATGAAGAATTAACTAGAATAGATATACATATAGGTAACGTAAAAGAGCGTTATCTTGCCTACAACCTGATGCCCAGGTTGGCAAAGTCTTTAGAATAAGTATAATTTGTATATCTGCAGAGAAATAAATAAATAAATTAGTTCCTGAGAACTAAAGTAGCGGAACTTTGTTCACTTTCATGGCTTATCAAAATAATATTAAAAGATATTCGGTTCAAGGAGTATGAGAATGTTGCCAGACATTTAAGTGTTTTAACACAAGCACCCTGTTTAGTCTTTCTGTCTTGCTCATCGAGTATATAACCAGAAATAGAGACGAAATGTCATTTAATTTATTTGACTTAAACTATTCTGCCATATCATTACGGACAACTGCGCCTCGGTTGACCAGCCCGAATTCGGAACAATTGTTTCACTTCAAATCGACTGGTTTAACATGAGCTTTACTATTATGGATGAAAATTTAAAAATTACATATTTAATATTTAATTACCGATGAAATGTGATTCCGTTTGTTTTATAATTAGATCTTTTGCTGTTTTTCCCACACCACCGCATGGTACAGCCACCCATAGTTAGAGATATTATCTTTATTACAATAAATACAGAATATTTTTGGAATATACGGAGACCTACACACAGGTCAGTTGTTGGCAGTGTACTATTTCAGATTTCTAATTTGTGATATCAGTGCAAGCGAGAGTTGATATTTAAAAGAGATGTAAGGCCCGTTTACCTGATGGGTTGCCAGGGATGGTTGGCCCTTATTTCGTCTCTATATCGGGTCATATCCTTGATGATCTTGCTGAATGTCTTTATTTTTACAAATAGGTTCTATGACGTATGAACACCATGCAATCTTTTTCCGTAACATAAAAAAGTGGTAAACGCTTCAACAAGATTGCGGTAGCAAATGTAGGTACACCGTACTCTAGTTTCACTTTCCCCATGGGATTTTGCCTTTCATCTTCTCACGATAGCTGCTGTGGGAATATTCCCAAATTTTCGTATATGGTTTGGGGAGAATGGTACTTTTCCTTTTTATAGAAAATTACTAGGTCAGACGTTGTTCTGTAGTTTTTTGGCCACAACATAAGTAGCATTAAGTGTGCTCTAATAAGTTCAGTAATTTTTAACATATATGTACGTCCCACTACTAAGCACGAATCTTTTCCAAATAAAGGTAATTTGGTCGAATTACAGTCACATGAAACTTGTCAACTTATGCTATTGCGCCCGTCACTCAGAGACATACTTATGGCGCAGTAGCAGTGCCCGTCAGATCTTTGCGTTTTAAAGCTCTGAGTTGCAATGCAACTGATATGGAAAGGCGTGCCGCTTACCACCAGGCCTACGACTTGTTTGTCCCGTCACGAATATCATAAAAAAAATTAAAACTAAAATTCTTACACTACATTTTATTTTTTCAACAACAATAATTTAATGTTTTTTGGGTATCTATTGCAAAGTTCAGATTAGCTATATTCTTCTGTATTAATCGTAAATAGTAGTATATGTTTATAGGTACAATAAAAATTACAAGTGCAAAATAAAAGATCAGTCCAAAATAAAAATAGTTGTGTCGACAAACGTACGTAAATTAATATTGATAAGGAATTATGATGCTCGCGCACATGGTCATCGCATGTCGGTTTACTCTCCCTGTCACACCGAATCAAGACGTTGATAATTAGAAGTAGACATTTGCATAATTTTTCATTCATTCGTTTATTCATTCAATTATTAATTTTTATTGAATATCACGATGTTTTCATGATATTTAATTGTCATTCAATTATTTTTAGTGAAATTACTCCACTAGTTTGCTATAATTATTAAAACAACGATCGGACACTAAAAAAAATTATACGTACGCAAAATACATCAATACCACATTGTCTGTTTTAGGCTTTACTCTTTTGTTATTTTGCATTCAAAGAAATCGGTAAAGAACGTGGTGCTTTAGTTAGGTTAGGTTAGTCAACAGTTAGCAACGGTGTAAACAAAGAGGGGTCGCTGTTCCACTAAATGGTAAGACCAAGTCTGCACGTGTCTCGGCATGAGTCTCTATGATGAGTGTGAAGACCGCCAGAGATGATATTATAAAAAAAAGAAAAAAAAAGAAAAAAAGATGGCGCAACGTCGTCATGTTTAAACTATTTACGCGGGGGAGTCACTGCCCTCAGTAATGAGGAATATGACGCGAGCAAATTATCGATCATACATCTTATATGTAAAATTGTATTTGTTAGTATTAGTTGCACCACACTATGACTTGTTTTTATAATCTGTGTTTTAAAAATAAATAAAATGTCATGTTGACTTTTGCCTTTCTAAAATGGTTTATTCTTTCTCCCTCAATATTTTTTTTTATAACATCAAGTGACGGAACGAACAAGTCGTATAGTAAGCTACACGCCTGTCCATTACAGTTACAGTGCCACTCAGAGCTTTAAATTGCAAAGATCTGAGGGGCACTGCCACTGCGACCGACAAACTGAGACGTAAGTTGACAAGTCCCATGTGCCTGTAATTTCACAAGCACCCTTACCCTTCAAAACCGGAACACAGTAATGCTGACTTTACTGCTTGGCGGCAGAAATAGGTAAGGTGGCAGTGCTACCCTGGACGAACTCTTTCACAAGGACCGTTACCGCTTAATGCTTAATGCCAAGAAGACAAAATGTGTTTGTTAAATTTGAATTATCTAACGTAAAATCGACTAGTCCAAGCATGGAAATAAACGGAGAAAAGTTAGACCTTGTTAACAAAGCAGTCTTCTTGGAAGTGACCTTAGATAGTAAACTTCAATGGTTTTCACATAATGTCTTCCCTGGCCAGCAGATTAAACTCCACTGCATATGCAGTCCGCAGAATACGTGAGCTTACCGATGTTAGTACTGCTAGACTAGTTTACTTTAGTTACTTCCATAGTATAATATCCTACGGGATTCTCATGTGGGGTAAAGCGGCAAATATTCAAACCATATTTGTATTGCAAAAACTAGCGATTCATTCTGTGTACCGTCTAGGCTCTCGGGTTTTTCTCAGAGAAAAGTTTAAGGAGAGTGGTATCACACTACATTTACTCAAATATTTTATATGCCCGTAAAAATATACGTAATTTCAATAAGAAAGAAGATATCCATAATATTAACCTTACAGCTAAGTCCAAACTCATGGTACCATGATTTCGTTTAACCAAGATAAACGACTCTTTTATGGGGAACTGTATACGTTTTTACAATAAGATTCCGGAGCATATTAAGATTATCATTTGCTAATTTTAAAAACTTCATTAGAAATATTTTGATTGAAAAGTCATATTACAAAATTGAAGACTACGTGTTAGATAAAGATGTATGGAAAGACGACACGGCTCCAGAATCCACACAAATTTGATTCAAAGTGTATTCCATAGCATTTAAGTTTATTTGGAAAGAGCAATCCCTAGAGTTTCTTGCTCGTTCTTCTCAGGGAAGTCAGCGTAGTGAACGAGCAGTAGCTTAATGTGACGTTTTCATGGAATAAATTATCTTTGACTTTGACTTCGACTGCTACTAAACAATGTTTTGTACGCGTGGCAAGTCAGAACGTGTACACAAAACAAACACTATAAGATCAACATAATGGCTGCATAGCCTACGTTAGCATATCACATGATTACATTCGGAATATAATGGCCTACACCCTATTAAAGAAAACCCTTGCCTTACAGAGGCACTATAATAATACGTGCCAGACAACCACACCAATTTCCTGTAGGTACTATGGGAACAACAAAATCGTATGGAGAATACGATTTTTCACATTTCAGAGTTTCCACATACGATTCGTATGTGGAAACTTCTCCCAGACCAAGTTTGCCTTTTGACCTTTTGAAGTCTTGGGATTATTCAGATTCCTCATGTTTACAAGATATTTCATATACTTATAGTCTTATTTTTAACCGACTTCAAACAAAGGAGGAGGTTCTCAATTCGACAAGATACTTTCTTTTCAACAAAAAAGAATCATCAAAATCGGTTAACAAATGTCGGGAGTAATCGCGAAACATACATACTTAACTGCCTCCGTGGCCGAACGGTTACCATGCCGGACTGCCACGCAGAGGTTCGATTCCCGGGCTGGGAGAAATATTTGTATGGCCTACATTTATTTCTCTCGTGAGTTTGGGTGTAATTTGTGGTTGTCTATGTGTGTGTCCGTGGCACCCGCGACACAGGGTCTCCCTATGTTGAATGTGCGCGTTATTATTACTATACAATAAAAAAAAATCAAGTCGAATTGAGACCTCCTCCTTTTTTTTTAAATCGGTTAATTAATGTAGCAACATTTACTTAATACATAATGTATTGGATATAATAAATAGATAATAAATTTATCGTTGTAATTACTACGTAGGTATGTAGCATTCAATTTCACGATTTATTAAATTTTATTACCAACTCACGAGCCAACATTTCTTTCAATTATTAAAAGGTTAATTGGAAGAAA